GCTGAGAATCAAAACTTACATGCTGAACAGGAAGGAAGTCAAATTCCTATAGAAACAGGAAAAGAGTGGAATATGCTCACAAATATGAGAGGAAGGGAGAATAAAACCAGACTGCTTGTCTCTCTCACACACATACACACCATGGGGAGTAATTAAAACTGTATTTTCAAAAATAATCAAGCATTTTCAAACAACTTCCAACAAATGTAAACTGCAGTTTGTTACTGAAGGAAGTCAGGTGGCAGTTTAGTGATGCAAGTGATAAAATAACAGGAAGAGGAAGAAAAAGAGTATGGCTAAATCTTCTTGATGTTTTTATTCTGGTGGAAATCAAGAGCAAATCTGGGGGAAATATTAAAAGGGTCCTTTTATGACTTTAAAAGGTGATGGCTGGCATCTCATTAGATCAAAGTAATTTTGGAGCAAATTAAAAGTAAAAATAACAAAACAATAGTAACACAAGAAAAAGAACAATAACGTAAGTATCAGTATAATAGATACTGTTATTGAATTCAGGAAAATCAACACGTTTTTAACAAGGTAATTTTGGAACAAAATAATAATAACAAAACAATAATAACAACTTAAGAAAAATACAAAAAATAGACCAAAAAATACAAACGTAAAATAGTGTTCAGTGTAAGTACTTTGACTTTTAAATAAGGCATTATCTTTTATAGTGCACCCTTTAAAACTAAGTTGTTACAATGGTACCTTGACATGATATGATACTTCTGCAAATTGTTGCTGGAATCAATGTGAGCCACACTATTCTGTTTTCCACAAATTTACTTCAGCAATTCTAATTAACATTATCTTTTCATTACATGTGGGCCAGAAGGAGTACTTGTGTAAGGCTACCTTGATTAAGCCAATTAAATTCAATGGGATATCACTTTTGATTAAACAACTATAGCAGGGATATATAATCCCCAGAAATCCAAGGGAAACACAGGCTTACCCCCAAACTTGCAGGGTGACATCTGCTCCCATATTCCACGAAGCCCAAAATACTATTCTTTTTTCTTTCTTTTTTTGAATGTGGTTTTAATCTAGTCACAATTTTTTAAAAATATATAAATTTAGATTGCTGGGAGCCTCAAAACTTGGCAAAATTGCTGATCATGGCCCATCGACAGCACAAGGGCACTATTTGAGCAATAAATATGTTTATATTTTGGGGGAATGGGAGGTATTTGGAGCATGTGCACATGCAGCCTGCAGGTCACACTTTGTCTACTCCAAAGTACAGGATTGTGCAGTACTATACATACAATTTCTGGCTAATAAAAATGTATAAAGGACATGGTAGTGAATACTGAGACACCCTCTACTAACTGACCTATAGATAGACAAACATTCATTGCCAGGGTTTTTAAAAATCTTGGGTCTTTCTTGGGATAACTTGTAATTAGAGGTGCGGACATACATACTCATATATGAATACCCCCGCACAGCTGGACTTAATGTGTCCACCAGCGGCGGCAGCCTTGCGCTTCCTTCCAGTCATTCCCAGAGCCCCGCTTGACTAGCTTCTCCTGGCAAAGGGGGGGGGGCGAGTTTCTCTGTAAGGCTGTTGAGTCGCTGGACGAGTGGCACTTAAAGAGTGAGTGGAAGGAAGAGCGAGGCTGCCACCACCGCCAGGCATGTGAGTGTCTAGCGTTAAGTCCAGCTGTCATATATGAATACCCCCATCTCTACTTGTAATTGTTTTGTTGTTCATTCACATAGATCCTGAAAATAATTATTTTGAAGCAGAACCATAGGGAAAAGATTATTCTACAATCATCAGCATTACTTTGAACTTCAGTTTCTAGGCTTCTGGATAACTCAGTGGTTTAGGTATCTGGCTACAGAGCCAGAGGTTGGGAGTTCAGTTCTTCACGGTGCCTCCTGAGAGTAGAGCCAGTTTGTGTGGCAAGCTGCAGAGTCCCAGGGTACCCACAGAAGAAGGGAATGGTCAACCACTTTTGACTACTCTCTACCTCAAAAGCCCTGCAAAGAGTCAACATAAGTTGGAATTGACTTTGACAGCATATTATTATTATTTTATTGAGTCTAAACCAACACATTAAAAAAAAAACCAGCTTGGAAAGTTTAACTAGACTAGAATTCCCAGAATTGCTCAGGCAGCCGGGTTATTGACCATGCTGGACAGGTTAATTTGGAAGTTGAAGGCCAGAAAGTAACTTTTCTAAGCTCTGAAAATTATTTTTTTAAAAGAAAAGATTCAGGGATTAAATGTTGTCTTGAAAACAATAAATGCATGAGCAATCATATTACTTTCTTTGCTTCTTTTGTAATGAAGGCTTTGCCTAAATAAAGAGTTTCACTTTTGTGGCTTAAAAATAAACTGCCTGCTTGAAACTAGAGAAGAATGGTGTCCTAAGATAAAAAATACTGTTAATGTCTTTAATTGCTATTTATGTGAGGAAAAGTCTTGACTACTGAGAAACAAATGAATTTGAAATTTAGACATCAGCCAGAATCTTGTAGGTGTTTATGCAAAGTTTTTGTGACTTGCTGCAGCTAACTGATGATGTGCTGGAATGCATGTCAGTCATGTGGCTGGTCACACGTGATTATGTACTCTGGCACCTTGTCAGTTAGTTGCAGTTAGCAGTGGCAAGTTATAAGTTATTTTATTTTTATTGTATTTTAATTGTTGTAAGCCACCCAGAGACCTTTGGGTAGAGTGGGCGGCATATAAGTTAAATAAATAAATAAATAAATAAATGAATAAATGAATAAATAAATAAATAAATGCGCGCGCGCGCATGTACATACATACATACATACATACATACATACATACATACATACATACATACATACATACATACATACATACATACATACATACCAATAAGATTCCAGTCATCATATTATTAAAGACAGAATTCTCATTGCTGTTATAGGCCATAGTTTCTTTCCTGCTGTAGGTATAGAGCTGGAGCAGGACAATATGCCTGCAAAAAGGTGGGGCTATCTCTCTATAGGCTATCATCATCATCTTCATATTTATTGCTGTTATTGGTTACAGATGGGTGAATTTTGGATGCTGTCATAATTTGTGGCCCGTGTTTATTCCATTCAACAGGATGATTCAACTATGATACTTTTCACTGCCCCCACGATTGTAGAGTAGATATGCAGAGAGGTTATTTTGGTAATGCTTAGTTGATGTACCTTTTCTTTGCAAGTACTTAGTTTTGAATAAAATATATAATATTGGGAAAATGTGGGTGTGGGCATATTTGACCTTTAATATGTTTAAAACATTCAGTCCCACTGGTGCTTATTAAATGTTTTTAGAGTCACAAAGAATGTCATGAGTTACTAAGGTAGCTCTAAATACTAAATGGTAATTAATTATTTAGCTGGGGTTTTGTTATGTGCTATGTAATAAATTACATTTTAAAAGTAACTTTCCAAGCTCACTGAATGGCAGGGATTATTGACCACCAAGTGGCGGTTTGGCATGGAGGACACTGGGAGTTGTAGTCTTGCTGCCCATTACGTTCTAAAGAGGGTGTCTTCCAAAGAACTATGACTCCCAGGAAACATTGCTGCAGCTTTCTTTCCTTTTTTTTTTGAAAATGAAAGATAGCAAAGACCAGAGAAGGCAGCTAAGATGCCAAACACCCCCTTCTAGGAGAGTGAAATCTGATGTGCTGTAGATTTGTGGGCTGCAACTCCCAGAATTCTGCCTGGATAATATTTGATGTTACATTCCAAAACCACAAAAGAGCACATCCCTAATCCAAACCTGATTACAGCTTCTTCATGATGGTGAAGAAACTTTGCCATGTAGTGATGCAAGGTGATAGAGGAGTCAGTGACAATTTTAATTAAATTAAATTAAAATTAAAATTAATTAATTAGAAAAACAAGTAACATATACTTAGGGCCCTTTTAGTAGCCATGAAAAGTTCCACCATGTGTCTGGGCTTCAGGATCTTGGATCAATGGCAGAATGATTCAGTTTTGTTGTTATTATAGTTGTGATTATTGCAACCCTGTCATATTTACCGGTATGCAAAATTTCAGTTTTCTGCATTTCACAGTCTTGGAGCTATGGTGGAGACAAACACATAGAGTCAGAATTAAACTAGTGTGTGAGCTGTATCCATTCCTGGAGAGGTCTGATCTGGCCACAGTGGCACATAGGTCTTTGTTACGTCCTGGCTGGAGTACTGTAGTGCATTCTTATGTGGGGCTGCCTATGGAAAGTGTCAGGAAATGTCAGTGGGTCCAAAATGCAGGAGCCAGATTACTAACTGGTGCTGGTTACAGGGATCACATCACCCCTTCTATTACAGCAGCTCCATTGGCTGCCAATCCATTTCCAAGCTGAATTCAAGGCGTTGGTTCTAACCTATAAAGCCCTAAATGGCTTGGACCCAAGTTGACTCAAGGACTGCATCTTCCTTTATGATCCTGCTTGAGTATTGAGATAATCAGGAGAGGTCTTTCTTTAAGTTTTGTCACCTTCACAGGTGCATTTGATGGGGACATGGTAGAGGGTCTTCTCTGTTGCAGCTCCCAGACTTTGGAACTCCCTCCCACTGCAGGCCAGGCTGGCCCCATCTTTGCTGTGCTTCCTTCCACAAGCGGGCAGAATCCTTTTTCTTCATGCAATCTTTTCCTCAGTTGGCTACCTGAATGGGATTTTTTAAAATGCATTGTTTTACCTTACTGCTTAGAATGTGTTTAGCTGGATGGTTTTTGTCTGATCCTTTTTACTATTTGTATACTCATCAGTGTTAGTTTTAAATACTGTATTTTAATGATGTGAGCCGCCTCGGGTCCATTTAAGAAGAAAGGAGGGTTTAAAATATTTTAAATAAATAATAAATATTGTCCACATTCTCCCTTTATCATAGATTCCTAGGTGTTTTAAAGTTCTTTTTTTAAAGGGATTTATTTCATATTTAGCTCTGATTTTCTTGTTGATTTTTTTCTTTAAATAAATGTCATTTTGGAATATTTGATTACAGGGTGGAATGATTAACTGGAATCGTCTCTTTCCTCCTTTACGTCATCGACGTAATGCAAACTATCAATATAATCATCAGACAGAACAGGAGGTACTTCCTCCAGCTGAAGTTTCTGAAGAACAGGTAAACAAATGTGTGAATAATATTATTATTATGATTAAGGAAATACCCACCCACCCCAATTATGTATTTTGCCATTGTGATTCTTACTGATTTGGAGTTCATGTACAGCTCATCATGCTGCTTTCATGACACGACTGATCCTATCATTAGGCAGGGTTAGGCAAACATCTCAGGTGGATAATGTTGGGGAACAGAGTTGCTTTAGGTCCACCTAAATTAGTTTGCTGTCTCAGATGTGGTGGGGGATATTATATTATTGGAAGTGCTATGCTGCCATTATGGCCAACCTGTATACCTAGTATGAGGAGGATGTGGCATGTTCTCCTTTAACTTAAACAGCACAATGTATGGCCAGCCCTGCTGCTTTGTGTGATAGCACCCACTCAGGAGGAGCACAGAAAGTCTGCCTTGAGACCTTCCTGCGCTGAATGTGGAAAGCTAACCTGCTATACTATGGGAGCTGATCTTACTGAATCCATAAACACCAGTTATTATGTGGCTTCAAGTCACTTCATTTTTGTTTTTGAGTCCAAGTCCTGGAATTCTCAAAGAATTCCGCAGGAAGAATTTAGGGAATTCCAGCCCGCAGACACACATCTACATTTCAGCTGGAACAAGAACGATCTTCCGGGCTGCTCAGCTATTTTGAACCTACTTGGATCAACCCTTAGATTCATGTGCAAAAAGGGAACTGCCCAGTTCTCCCTGGGAAGCCTAGGTCTTCATGGGAGTTATGGTCTTAACTGCCTGTTAGGCTCTATTAGAGATCTTCTCCAGAAAGAACTACATTCCCATGAAGATCTGGACCTTCTGGGAAGCACTGGGCAGTTTCTTGTACATTAACAACAATAGGCCCAAACCTAGGCTTGGGATAGCTAGTCAGCCTGGAGGACAGGCTTTGAGGGAGATGGCTGTGGAGAAGAAGCAGCCAAATGGCAGTTGGTCCCAGGTGGGCTGATTGATGTTAGGGGCTTTCTTGTCTCATCTGTTCCTGTGATTCATAATTGGGGAAAGATGAAAATCAGGACAGTGACGAACACTGATCATTTTCTGTTCTTTTTAAGCACACTTGCAGTCATTCTGGAAATGTTGATTCATTTAGAAATACGCTTTCCTTTTGAAACATGTCTATTTTATCCTACAAAATGGTTGCATCATCTAGATTTAGTAGTATGTTCAGAGTAGACTGAATAACTGAACACCACCATCTGTGTACCTGCACACAAAAAAAGACTCAATTCTGACTCAACTGCAGTTTTATGTGTTAAAGAAAGCATTTCATTAGGGGTTTGCCTAAAATGGCCCATACAAAGATGCATAACGTTTGATGTATATTTTTAAAGAGGAAAGCCTCTTTCAGAGGAACAGTCCAGAGCAGAACAGTCGGGGTATTAAATAAATGAATGAATGAATGAATGAATGAATGAATGAATGAATGAATGAATGAATGAAATAATAACTAGTGTGTCTTTGTTTAACTCTCTTTTTTTTCACCACGAGCCATTCCCTACCCCATCCTTTGGTTCCTGGTGTTTAATGCCTCAGAGGGAAAATAATTTGAGTGACACCAGTTTGGAGCAGAAAAGTGGGTGATGGGGAAGGGGTTAGACACCATTTTCTTTTCCAGTCTCTCTCTCTCTCTCTCTCTCTTCTTTCTTGCTGAGCCTTATTCCCAACTAGAAACCTGTCCAGTGACAACCATGCTGTCATAATATGAGAAAACAGATACTATAAGCTAAGCTGAAACTTATGCTGAAGTAATGAAAAACAGAGGTAGCTGTTTTCGCCTTGAGGTCACAGTTGCCAAGTCCATATTAGGGAAATTTTATTAAGCAATCCAAAAAGACCCAGAGGGTGATCTTCCTCAAATTCTAGTATTTTCTTAAGAGGATTTTTTTCTAAAAGTGAATTCACATAATCTCTGGAAAAGTGATTGTTTAAAACCACTTCCATGTGAAAATCTTTCTGTATCTGAATGTACAACATCAGGGGAAATGCTAGAAAGCTAAAGCTGGGTTCTCCCATTTCCCTGGCAATGTGAGAATTGTTGCAGAATCACTTCTTCCCTTGCTATGAAGTAGCATCGAGCAGTCCCAGATCACAGCAGACAAGGCCATTTGGTAGCATCTCCTATTACCAACACCAGCTCTTTAGAAATGGGGTTAACATGAGTAAGAGAAGGCATAACAGTGTGGGGCTTTTTCCATATGGGACTCCACTTCTCACAGTGACTCTAGTGATGCAAGAACAGATGCTGTTGCAGCTGTTGCAACACCTGGATTCTTTATATACCAGACACAGAAGGGGAGATGGGGAGGTATGCTCCAGCTTCTCCCCTGCCTCCTTATATTTTCAGGGAAGGTCTAAAGGGGCTTTCTAATTGTGTTCAGTTGCTTACCAGACTCCACTGTGTTGTAAGCCCTGCCTTATGGCTTCCAGTGATGTGGAAGACTGTAGGCACTTCATCTGAACACAGTTAAACATCTACAAAATGAACATGGTATAGTTCTATGAGAGCTCTTTACTGCCTCAGATAGTTAAACCTTTGACTTGCCCTTCATATATCTGTGTTACAGGAAGAGTACACATTTTTTCGTATTTTCAGTTAGTTTCTAAACCACACTGTCATCTGGTGTTGGGCTAGCACTTACGACATACAGGTTCACATTTCCACATAGGTGTGACAGTCATTCAGTGACTTTAAGTCAATCACTCTTAGCCCGTCCTACTTCATAGGGTTGTTGTGAGAATAAAGTGTGAAGGAGGCAGTGTAGACCACCTTGAGTTCGTTGAAGGAAAAGTGAGATTGAAATGGAATAAGTAAATGATAATTGTGTAGTATTGGCTGCTTGCTTAAATTTCAGATAAAGACCTCTTCCTTTTTTCTTGTTCATGTTTCCTTGTTTCTCTTCTAGGTTGCACGGCTCATGGAAATGGGATTTTCCAGAGTAGACGCTTTGGAAGCTTTGAGGGCTTCAAATAATGACCTTAATGTAGCCACGAACTTCCTGCTCCAGCACTGAACAGTATCTGCAATGAAAAACATGAATTGATACATTTGGTGTGCTGCCCAAAGGAGTATCTTAACCACTTGCTGGTTAAATTCCAGACTTCCAGAAGAGGAAGCTCTCTCTTCACAAGTTGACATATCAGAGCAGAAATGATGGGTGACACTGGAAGATGTCTGGTTTTTGGTTGGGGGAACTGACTAGCCAGGTTGCACTTGAAAATTATTTTCAGTTCACAAAGATATGCTACAGCTTCAATATTTATTTTGAAATATGGGTGCATGTGTTTGTTTTTCAAAAACCCACATAAAATGTAAATCTGTTCCTAATAAGTGAGAAACAGGATAAAATATGAACATTTGTAAAAAGAACTCCTCCTCCCAAAAGAACTGATTTTGTCCTCTGGTATCACTTTCCTTTTTATGATCTAAAATATTCTAAAACTAAATTTTATTTACCTCTATTGTCAGAGCTTTAAGAAACTTGCAGAATTCCTTGGCTATGTAATCTCAATAAAGGGAGAGGGTTGTGGGGCATTCAGAGGTTGCTGGTAATGTCTTATGAAAAAGGGAGAAACAAAATGATGTGCGCATGAAAATAACGATGCAGAAGGAGAGCAAAGACAAGGACAGATGCAGTAAGATTTGTAGTTATTTTTTTAAAAAAATGTGGAATTCTGTATGTATAAGATTTGAAAGATAAATGGCTATTGAAAGAAATATATAAGGTGGAAGATCTGAAAGGCTGAGAGCTATTGTATTAGATTCTAAAATTCAGGTGTATGTGTGTTCTTGATGTGATTTTCAAAAAAGAAATAAAAAGTGCTCTCAGAACTAAAACCCATGTCTTCTAGCTGGAAGGTATGCATCCTAATCCTTCATACAGTAGTTCCCATCCTTGAGTAACCCGTGTGTTCTTGGGCTGCAACTCCCAGAACCCCCAGCCAGCACAGGTGGTGGTGAAGGCTTCTGGGAATTGCTGTCCAAGAACACCTGGGCTACCCAAGGTTGGAAACCACTGCCCTAATAGATAAGAGTACTTGAGATTTTAAGTGTCACGTGTAGAAGAAAAATCTGCATGTAAAATATCTATGTTATATTGATACTGAATGCCAGAAAAAAAATTAGATTTAAAATTCTGAATTTTAGCCACTTGTTTATAACCTTTAGAGGCTAGCCTTTTAATGCACATTGTATCCACTAATTGGAAAACATTCTTCCCAAGGATAAACTGTTTTTGTCCCAGTCACAGCTTAAACCAGTATAAGAGAATGAAAATGGTTCCCACAGAATGAAAACAATTAACAGTAAAGAACATCTATATATCTACTTCTCAGATAACCTTTGTGCTATGCATAGTGCATGTTTTTCAAATACTGTGGTTTATAGACTCTGTGTAATGTTCAGATTTTATCTTGGTGATCTTTCAAATTCAGTACCTAAGACGTATAGTCTCATGTGGGTATGGCATATCTAATTTCAAGATCACACTTTAGGGCGTGCTTTTCAGTAAGAAAGCAACATCTGTAAGAACTGGTAAGAAAAAAAGGAGGTTTTTAAAAGCACTCTGAACCAATTTCAACAGCAAGATACTTGTAGTTACTCATGGTCTCTATCCAATTCCAAGTGTAGGTTCTGTGTGCAAAGCTCCATTTGGAAAACCTTTATAACTGCTGCCCCCCACCGTTTTATTGACACAGCAGTAGCTTCAGAGATCTTTCATTCTGGGCTATGGAGGGAAGAGTTCTTACAGGTTTTTTCTTTCTATTCTTTAATCTCTCCTGCACTAGAGAGGGCAGTATGTCCTCCTGGAGTCACACATCTCTTTGCCTAATTTCATGTGGTCTTCAGCCTAATTATTAATTTCAGAAAATCCTTGAAAGCATTCAGTTCAGACACTGTGCTCCCTAGTGAAAACTGCTTAAAATGTGAACAATGTGTTCCTCAATGCATTTCTTAAATACAGGTATTGCGGGGGGGGGGAGCCTCTAGAAATGCTTCAAGATATGCATGGGCACCATGGTCATCCAAGGGCAAAAGACCTAGAGGTGGAAGAGTAGCATGCACATGTTTACTTGATCTTGTCCAGGAGAACTATGTGGCTATCCTGATGTCAAGAAAAGCAAAGATTGAAGAACCTGGTGTACATCTCCAAATACACTTCTCCATAGGACACTTAAGAGGCATCATTCATAAATATACAAAAGCCAAAGAATTATGCAAACAGAAACAATGCTAGAAGCCTTTGAACCTGTTTCTCATAGAAAGCATTCTTTATTATCTGTGAAACAAATAGGGAAACACAGCTTGGTTACAGGACCCAACTTGGCTACAGTATTTCCACACTGGACAAAATGTGATGAGAGATTTCCCCCCCCCCCATCCTTAAAGTGGGAGAAGATCTGCTAACTTGACATGGTTTAGCACCATTTATTAGAAAAACTGATATGTCCTTCCACCCACTGGGTGCTATTTGTCCATTGATGACATAGATAAGAAAATCAGCCTATTTTTATAACATTTAAGACAGAAAAGTTGCATCAGTTATGCTTTTTTATGAAACAGGTGGGCTGAAAGCTGCTCAAAACAAATGTCCCAGTTCATATGAACGGATGTTTTCTTGCTTTGGGTGTTATGGAACATATGTGGTTCTGCACAGACCTTCCTGTGGATAGGAAACATGTTCATACCTTGCCACACATTGAAAGTTCCATGTAGTCAGAAAATATCCTAGAGTTCATTCAGTGCAAGTTTTTTTAATCCACCTGGATCAGGGTTATTGGGCTGAGAAAGCAAATACAATTTGGCAATTCCACAGCATAGAACCAGCTCTGAAATATTTGTCTTAAAGCAGGGGTACAAAATTTTAGCAGGCTTGGGACCGTCCTCTGCCCCCAGGATCCTCTGAGGGCTATAGAGATCACCGAAAATGCCAAAAAGTAAGAACAAAAATATTTTTTAGAGGAAACCAGAAACCAGATTTGAAAAATGTTCAATTTTTTTCCTACTAACCCCCATCCTGGAAACTACTTTTGGGAAGGTATGGGAGTCTGAGGGGCAGGGGCTGAAAAACAGCCTTAAAGAAGGGGAGAGCATGTAGTAAGGAAAATAAAAATGCTAGACCATGTAAGAATGCTAGCAGGACCTCACAGCCTTCCTGTGTTTTTAAAATTGCCATTAAGTCAGTAAACAATTAGCAGTTGTTTTTTATATTTCTCGAGTCTCAAAATAAAATCCAATTACAAAGTGTTAATTATATTTTAATGATAAAGCAGTTCTCTGAGCTATGCATAGAAGTAATTCACCCCTGAAATCTTATCATTTAGTATAGTAGATTGCAATTAGAGTAGGCTTGTTGAATCAGTGGAACTTAAGGAGGAATTGACTCACCAAATCGCTACTGATTCAATGGACCTACTCTAGTAGCTATTTTTTAATGCTAAGCAATAGGATTTCAGCCACTAGGTTATGCCCATCACACCCAGAATGAGGGTGCCACTACACTGGGTTAGGGAGTTTACTGTTCATATTGGATGTGATGGGATTCACATTCCAGCCTACAGCCCCACTTCTTTCCTTCCTTCCTCCTCTGGTCCTGCCTCTGCCATGTAAATGTAGGAAATAATAATCACAGGGACCCAGCGATAAGGCAATAGATTGATGTAGTGCTAATCTCATATATGTAAGAATTCTTTGAAAAATAATATTTGGAAGGCAATCAAGGAAGAGGAAGGAATGTAGGTGCATGTTTTCCCATCCTGAACATCACGCCCCAACTGCCTACATCACTGAGATACCATCTGCAGACACACACACACCCTTGTCTTTACAAGAATATGTCACAACTGACCACACAAGAAAAAGCCTGTTTGAATTGGTCCAGCTTGAAAAAGTAGAAGTCCTCCAGCAGCAGAGGAAAAGGGGCTAAACTGATTTGAATCAACCTTTGGTTCATCTGGTCAGTAAGAATTACTTCAAATTTGCCAGTTTTATAAGTGGAGCAAGTTGTGCTGTATTTGACCATGTAGTCACAGCCCAAGGCAAGAGTCACATGGCCACGTTTTATATGGCACTCTTTCAGTCTGTTTCCCTACCTCAGCCCAGTGCAGAGCTTTTGCTTTAACTCCTCTCTGTTCTTGGCCTATATTCTGTTCCTCTCTGGGCATACTTATTTTTCTGTTCATTTGTTTAACTTCTGTCTGCCTCAGAAAGGGAACTAACGGGCCAGTAACTAAAAGGTTGGTGCTGGAAGCTGGCAACAACAGCACCACAAACCTACATTATCTTCTGCGTCATTTTCTGAAGAAAAGTCATCTGTGACTGTCCAAACACCTCTACTCTTAATGCTGGTAATGACACAAGTGTACTCTTCTTTTAAGTGATGTTATTCAGCACCTTACTGGTAGTGAGAGTGAGGTGAAAGGTTCACAAAACCTGGACCCACCAGAACTTTCCCCTTAAGATTCTCAGTTTCTGGAGACTTTTCACAGGAAAATAAAATATTCCCAAAGATTTGGCTAAAAAGTGGAAGGGGGGTAGTCCTACAGATTCCTTCCTTAATCTTGAAAGAGAAGTCTACCAAATCATCTCTTGAACCTTGACCATGTCCACCATTTTGGCTTGAACAGATAATTGTTCTGTCTGCTGCCTGCCATTCTGAGGCTCTGCTGGAATTTATTTCTTCCCTGTGCCAATATCTGATGCTTCTCATTCACTTGATCAGTGACCAGGAAAATCAGAGCATGTGTAAGGATAACATCAGTGGTTCCAAGCAGTAGTTTGTTTAATTTTTATTTATTTATTTGCCTTAGCTATTAATTCATGATAATGACAGAGAGTGTCAGTGAAATTGAGCCATTTGAATTGCTCACTGCCTTCTCCTCAGAATAGAAATACACAGCAATCCCTGACCACTGCAGTAGGGAGACCTACTCAATTTGAGCCTTTATATGTTTGCTTTTACACGCCTATTACCTTAGATTTTGCAATATACTTTAGTCCGTGTCTTCAGTTATGCAAATCCTGCTACAGGTTCTGAAACAGATTGTGGTTTCTGAGGTTTCTTGTCCAGTGAGCTCTCACACAAATAAGCCCCCAGGCAACATTGCTCAGTGTTTTGTTTTTCCTTCAGTACTTATTTTATCCCATGCTGAAATAGATGATGAGTTCTTTGCCAGAGTCTCTGTGCATCAGCCAAATAGTTCTGCACCTTGGTGGATCCACTATTTGGAAATTCCTAGGTAGACAGAGTTTTAGCAGTAGCCCTGCCCCTCCCTCCTACAGCACAGCTCTAACCTGGATGTAGGGTGGCCATTGCTCCATTGCCAAAAAAGGACAACATACATCACCAGAAGCAGGGCATATAGGTGCAATAAATTTGCATATGCTAATTCAAACTAAGAGACGTGGTGCTGCGGGCTAAACTGCAGAAGCCTGTGCTGCAGGGTCATAAGACCAGCAGTCGTAAGATCGAATCCATGTGACGGAGTGAGCTCCCGTCGCTTTGTCCCAGCTCCTCGCCAACCTAGCAGTTCAAAAGCATGTAAATGTGAGTAGATAAATAGGTACCATCGTGGTGGAAAGGTAAAACTGTGTTCCCTAGTCACGCTGGCCACGTGACAATGGAAACTCTTAGGACAAGCGCTGGCTCTACAGCTTGAAAACAGGATGAGCACTGCCCCCTAGAGTCGGACACAACTGGACTAAAAATGTCAGGGGGAACCTTTAAACTTTACCTTAATTCAAACTAATATAAGTAAATAGCACCGCAATTGGGCACTATTACTATAATTTAATTTACTGCACAATATTGTTACAAGGTAACCACATTTAGAGACAGCACCGAATGATGGAATATAAATCAAATAAATAAAGGCATAGTGTTTAATAAATCTCTAAAATTGCCTTGTATTTTCTGCAAATTACTGAAACGCAATAGTATTGTTAAAATATCAAGCTAGGCAATAATCAGTTATTTCAGAAGAATGGTCTGAACAGTGTTTTTAGAATGACCACACCTGGGACTGACCTCACATCTGATGTTTGTACAGAATTGACAGGCCACATCACATCCTCCCAACCAGACATCAGTAGCTATATCAGCGTGTGTGGCATGAATATTTTCTCAAAAAATGACCCCCACAAACCATTTTAATTTAAAAATGAGAGAGGACTAAGTAGATATTTTTACCAATCAAATTATCTTCCTGTTCAGCCAGGGAAATTCAGGGATAGGGTATGGTAACCAATTACATATCACAAAAAGGAGAGCTCTTGAAATAGAGGACTGTCTTCCCTAAGGAAGGACACATGCCCCCCAATGTTTCCAGTACCTGAGTATCCTCACCAATTCAAGCCAGCCATTAACCACATTCTGAGACCCATGCTGTTCCCTCCTTTAGAGATAATGGAAGGATCAATCATTCCTGAACCTTTTGAGCACACTGCCACACAAAGGATCGATTGGTACTGGCAGTGCCCCACACCAGTTTTGCTAATCCTCATGCCTTAGTAAAAAGAGTGCTTTCCCTAATCTCACCCCTCTTCATGACTTTTTGAGGCATGCAAGTATTACAA